AACAACAAAATTACTATCAGTTTCTATTCTTGCCATACTCCGCATCCGAAATACCACACTTCCACGTTCGGAGCTTCAACTATCACGAATAACGAAATCTATTCTCCTCCAAAGTCTTCATATACCGATAATTCAAAATGGGAAAATCAATCCTCCTCATTAATGGCCCCAACCTTAACCTCCTGGGCACTCGTGAACCTCATATTTACGGCTCAACCACTCTCGCAGATGTCGAAGCCTCGAGCAAAGCCCATGCTACTTCACTAGGGGCTACTCTGGAAACCTTCCAATCCAATCACGAAGGCGCAATCGTTGATCGCATCCAAGCTGCTCGGGGGAATGTTGATGGAATCGTTATCAACCCTGGCGCATACACGCATACCTCAGTGGCTATCCGGGACGCCTTGGTGGGGGTGGATATCCCTTTCATCGAGCTACATGTGAGTAACGTCCACGCAAGGGAGCCATGGAGACACCACAGCTACTTTAGCGATAAAGCCGCTGGAATAATTGTTGGGTTGGGAGTATATGGCTATAAGGTTGCGGTGGAACATGTGGCTGTGAACTTCAAGTCGAGGGAGGACAAGGCTGTACTTTAAGTGCCAGTTACAGATGCTTCATAGAAAAAAAAGGTCTTGGATGAATGTTGATATATAGTGTAATGTGTAGATATGTCATTGCAAGGGTTCGATGTGAATATCGATTTAATCGTCCATTCATTTCTGTCACTGCACACGAATGACAAATTATATACGCCTTAATATATACAATCGAAGAATTAGAAGTAAGGGCGAAACGCTATGCATAAACTCTTCATAGCCTTTGCTGGGTAGCTATCGCACTACAAGGACCAGCCCATGAGATGGTGCTTTGAATCAAATGCCACCAGCGGCGGCATATCTAACAGGTGGGCAAGCCAGAACACCCAAGGAGTCAAAGCCTTCTAAACTTAGCCTGAGGCCCACCTGGTGTTATCCAACATCAAGTTTGTGGCTCAATTACCAGTTGAGACTCCCGTGGTAGCACCCCCCGAAGGATCGGAAATTGGCAATTGCTGTGTTTGGGCCAGGAGGAAAGGTTCTACCTGACTCGAATAAGAATATAGTTCCGGAATTCCCGCGTCTGGAACAAATCCTAAGTTCTGCATGAATTCTGGCTGATTGTCCGCTCTGCAGTCCACATGTCAGCGGCTGTACAACTACAACGAGGATGAGAGCTACTCACTTTTCGGTACCATCCAACGATGCTAATTCATCAAATAATGCATCGAGATCGGGAGCAATCCGCGGTCGTTGGAGAGACCCATATCCGTCCATGTCAAGAAAGGCGCCAATGTTATTATTCTGTTCACTGTATGGTGTCTGATATTGTAAAGGCTGAAATGAACTCAAGTCTGGTAATGAAGCCGCTCCGTTTACCGGTCGTGTGGATGAAGAGATTGAAGCGTGTTGCCTATGAGAAGTAGGCTCCCTCGGTTGAGAGGTTTGCTGTAACGTTTCCGTCACTCCTCGGTTGATATTCACCGACGAGGCAGGTGTTGGTAAAGATAATGCTGCATTGTCCTCGGCATTTGATGCCGCTCGCATCCAGGAGTTCGAAAGAAGTGGATCAGCCGCACTAATATCTAGGTGTGTATTGTCTATTGCTCCAGCTCTCCTTATTGCATTCCCTGAGACTGGCATTTCCGCAAGGTGGAAAGAATTCTGATCAGCTGAGGTTGGATTTGTCAGGCTTCGTTGTCGCTGAGTTACGGAGGTCGATGACACATTTGGTGTCATTGTTGTCATACGTAACCCCGACGTGTCTTTCTCCTGCACAAACCACACAGTCGCGAGGTATGAGGCAAACGATCGCAATTTTTGCTTTAAGCCAGAATCGAGATCAAACAGCAAAGGCAGATTGCGTGTTTCAGATTCCTGGGGCGTGCTAAGGGAAAGAACCGTACCAAAGGTAGGAAAAGTGGCAGAGAGGCTGTAAGTCTCCATGTACATTTGAAGTAATAATAGCAATCTTTTTGAGCTTTCTGTCGCACGTCCCTTGTGTATCGCCTCGTGTACGTTGGCGTCGCTTTTCTGAATTGCGAATTGCAAACTCAGAGTAGCAATGACGCCTTCATACATCATCTCGAGTCCAAAGATGTGAGGTGAAGCTGGCTTCGCCGAGTTCGCTTGCACATCAACACGATAACTCTTGGGAAGAGCCGAGATCCAGATCTGTAATTGGCGTTCCAGCACCTCTAGCTGTGAGGCAGAGCTAGTCATAGATTGCTTGGTACAGCACAGGTCGTTCAAAATGCATATCAACGAGATAAGTCGGTTAAAAGTGCTCAATGCATGGAGCGGCCCGCGATGGAAATTACCTCGTGATGACTCGACCGGGCGAAGGCCAGTTTGATCTTCCCAGGGATGCCATTCTTCCAAACCATCCTCATTAATTGGGCCAATCCTCATCAGGTCGCCCTTGCGCAATGACGGGATTTGGTCGGTTTGCATCGCAACTATAGTCTCAAGCAGAAAGCAGCCCAAAAAGACATGCTTCGCTCGCCCCGGGCTCTTTAGCCCATCTTCATTAATCAATTGGGTGCTTGGAGGGCGATCCAGCCTCAGACACTGTGAAATACGAACGGCCTGTCCTACAAGCACCCATGCAGCTGCCCACTCTTGTTGACCAAGTTTGATAAGTGACAAGATCAGCAATGCTTGAACATGGCCAATATCATAGGCACCTTCTTCTCCTGGAATTAGACTTTTGGCAGTTATATACAACTGTTGAGGATTTGGTCGGTCGCTAGAAGCTTGCAGCATTTGACGAGTCGTGGTAATTGAAGCCTCCTGAATAGAGGCAAGAGCTAGAACTGCCCATAGTGCCGCGTGATTGCCAGAGCCAGCAGACGTAGCTGAAACAGGGGTGTCATCCTCCGAGTGGCGAAATGCAGTCCGAAGTATATCGTGCTTTTCGAGTATTGGAAACCAACATTGTGTATATGTAAAGTATAGGTCAATCAATGCCCAAGCATTGGAGGGGAGGGGAGGCGGGTATCTTGATGTACTCTCAGAGGAATGGATGGAGTGAGGCAGCGGTGGTGGATGAGTGGCTAGTAATCTGGGGTCTTCTGTGGCGTCATTCGGGGAGGATGTTTGAGTGCTGGAGTCTCGGGTATTGCGTGTCGGATGGCTTTTAGCGGCTGATCCAATTGTAGGCGTTTTGATGGGTGATGGCCCTGCAGCCAATGAACTCTCCCTTCCATCTCCTAACCCTTCAGGAATATACCACTCGAGGGTATCGGAAGATAGCACACTACTGCCTTCGGCATCCTGAGGAGAATCACTATCTCCAGGGGCTCGTAGCTCTTTATCTTGCTCGTCCTCCGGCTGCTCTAATAAGGTCAACATCCGCTCGACATCTCTAAGCACAGCACTATTCTTCCACGAGAAGAGAAGTGTGTCGGACCCCTCAGCCTCTTTGCCCATTGTAGACAAATGACTTGGCATGTTGGCTGCCTTTAACAACGCGCGAACCACATCCTCACTACCCTTTATCTTGCAGAACACGAGACCCCATAGCAACTCGAGCGTTCGAATGTACCCGGTTGGTAAGCCCCTCTTTTTGGGATTGGCCTTGTAGGTGCAGGGCCTGGACAGCGAAGCGCAGGTTGAACACACTGGTTGGACCCCATCGCATTTATCCTTTTTCGACCGACAGCTGTCGCAGGCGCGCGAGACCCGCTGTCTCTTGGGATTAGAGGTATGCTCATCTGCAGCAGTATTCGATCTATTATCGTCGTCGGCATCAATCAGTCGTCGTTTAGCTTTGCTGCTCCCGGAGGCTTGGCGCATGTCGCTGCTCATGATCGTCTAAATAGCAGTGCACTAGATTGTTCTGGACGCATGTCCATCGTCAGATGCAACCGAGATGTATCATTTGCCGGCAGATAACTTTGCAGAAATTGAACTTCAATTCACCCCACCACACAGGGCAATGGGAACACAAGGAATATGAGCTAGTCCGTGCTGTCAAGCGAGACTAGATCGCTTAGTCCAACTAGAACTAGAATCTGTGCGTAACCAATCCGAATTTGGTGGTGATAGCAAAAATTGAGATATTGACAGAATGAAAAAGCGGAGAAAGGAAAAACGAATGTATGCTGGTGGAAGTTGGGGAAAGCGGCCCTATTGCTTACCCGCGGTCTAGTGTCAATACAGAGTACGGAGCAAGCGATGACCTCCCCCGAATCAAAGTAGACGGATTGAAAACACTTTGGAACCATGGCACTAGTAATCTAATATTCTCCACTTCCCCTTCGACTCATGATCGCTAAATGAACTTAGCGAGCAGGCCCCCAGTATGTACCTATTTCACTGGGTCAGTGTTAAAGATCTTTTGCTAATTCATATGAAAGAATGCCCAAACAGCAAGTCAATGCGTGAGAGTAATGTGGCCATACCATACTGAGTTGTCGGTAAGACTCGGTATTATTTCGTATCTCAATACTGTTTTTCGGGAATGTCGCCCGAGTGGGTTAATCCCCGCGGGGTAGTAATTGCCACTTAGAATGATTCTAGACGATACAGTATTTTAAACCCTGTGGGTGGTAATTTTCACGGCTGAGCATTTGTCCGCAAACTCCAACGGATCCAAATCTCCGAGGCCCTAAGGCTCCCCCAAACCAACTTTGTCGCTTCCCCACGATTAGGACCCCTTAGCTCTTCCTCCACCTCCACAACCACCATCGTACATTGATTGATTTTTCTTGGACGGGAGGCAGTCACCCAACGCCGCGTTGAACCCTGGCAGAGTCACTCATGCCGTCACCCCGATTATTCTAGCTTTTTACAGTGAATTCTCCCTACCGAGCACTTGTACCTTGGTTTCTACATTTTCGCCATCAGTCGTACATCTATTCCTTGTTCAATGTCTCCATCTCACTACCCACGCCGCGCATAAACCAGGAATGCCCTTATTCGCCGAAGACATAGGCGCTCCTACTTCACTGTGACAATATGTCTATACTCGTGAGGCCGCCAAAACGTAAACTATCTGAAATCGAAGGGCTTGAGGAAAGGAATAGGCTATCATACAGTGGTCGCTACCCAAATGCTACCCCCAGTGCACATCTGTCATTGGAACTGAATTCTGGAAAAGATGCTGGGCATCCGATAATCACCGCTTCCCCTCTGGCAGAGCCGGCGGAGACCACTAGAGAGTCTTCTTCACGTGAGCTGAACTCCAGTAGGGCGTCACCTGTATCCTTCGAGAGCCCCCTCCAGGTACAGAGGACATTCGCACCAAATGTTTCCATTGTACTAGTTGGAATTCGTGGCACAGGCAAGTCTAGTCTTGCGGTCATCTTGGCCGCAACTTCCGGAAGACGATTGATTGATGCCGATCGCTATTTCCAGCAAGTAACAGGACGTTCACGTGCAGCTTTCAAGAAAGAATATGGAATTACCGAGTATCGTCAGCAGGAAGCTAGAGTTATGGAATCTATGCTATCGGAACATAAAGAAGGTTGGGTCATCGCGTGCGGGCCAGGTTCCATGGAGCGCAGTGGGCAAATGCTTCTCAGGGAATATGCAAAAACGCATCCTGTCATCCATATCATTCGAGATCCGGAAAGTATTCAAGCATATCTACAAGCATGGGACACAGATAAAGTTCGCCGTTTTCTCGAGCTTTCGGGTCCTATCTATCGCGCATGTTCAAACCTTGAGTTCTTCAATGTCTCGGAAACCGGCCACGGAGATCTCACATTAGGGAAGAGCGGTCAGCATCATTCACAGCTTGAGCTTGAAGTAGATCAGCGCTCCCAAACATTCACGCCATTTCTGACTCTTAAACGGTTGCAACGTGACTTCGTTCGTTTCATTGCTTTCGCCACTGGAAATGCTACCGACCTGAGTAACCAACATGCATCATTCCCACTCTCTACGCAACCAGTCGAAACACGGATCTTCACTTATGCTGTATCTGTACCGATATCCACTCTTTTCACGAGGAATCTCAATATTGAGGATTTGGAATCAACTGCAGATGCCTTCGAACTAAAGGTGGATGTGACAGATATTCCTTCCTCTCGTCTAGGGCTCGAATCCACCCTTGCGGATAGGATTAGTCAAACTATGGCTAACATTCGGCGGAACATTGTTGTCCCTCTGATATACCATGTTGAAAGCGATGTAAGCCTGGTTGGCTCGGCATCACCGCATAATGAGCCGTTTCACCGTTCTAGTGCCGCATATCTAAATTTGATACACCATGGTTTACGACTGGCTCCTGATTTCATAACGGTTGATCTATCTTACGATGACGGTGTCTTATCACAAATTATCGCTTCGAAAGGCTCAAGCAAGGTTATTGGGCATTTTGCTTCTATACAACCCGTTGACCAAGGCTGGGACGGTCCTGTCTACCTCGAGCTGTACGAACGTGCCAAACGACTCGGATGCGATATAGTTCGATTGACACAGCCGGCATCATCAATGGACGATAACCACGCTGTCCAACGCTTCCGTCATCGTATCCAAGGTCTCCCTGGCCCGCAGTTGCCTCTCATAGCCTACAATTCAGGCTCACTGGGTCGGCTGTCTTGCTGTTTTAACCCGATATTGACACCGGTAAATAATGAAGCCCTACTGTCCGAGACCCAAGCGAAGAACCTGCCTTACATCACGTTACGTGAGGCACAAGAAGCGCTCTATGCCTCCTTCGCTCTGGACCCGATGCAGTTCTTCGTTTTCGGTGCCAATGTAACTTACAGTTTGTCTCCCGCCATGCACAACGCAGCATATAAGGCATGTGGGATGCCACACGTTTATAGTATTCGCCAGTCACCATCTCTGCGAGGCCTCAATGAGTTAGTAGCAAACCCGAACTTTGGAGGAACCAGTGTCAGTCTGCCTTACAAGACAGAATCTATCCCGCTCCTTCATTCAATGTCACCTCACGCCCGGGCAATCGGGGCCGTTAATACTCTGATACCAATCCGGAATCTGGAGGATCCCGCTCTTGTTTCCAAAGGGTCCTCCTTGTATCTGGAGAAAAGCCGGGCAGGGCCGATAAAAGGCTTACATGGAGACAACACAGATTGGATTGGCATCTGCAATTGCCTTCGACGGGGACTTTCGCCTGCTAACGCGATTCGTCCATCGTCTACAGGGCTGGTTATTGGCTCAGGCGGTATGGCCCGTGCTGCCGTATACTCTATGATCCACTTGGGAGTGCAGAACATATTTGTATGGAACCGTACCTTTGCCAATGCCGAGAAGTTAGCATACCATTACAATCGACAAAATCTTCCTACGCATAACAACAATGTGCCAACAACTCACTCGACAGTTCATACTCTACGCTCACTACAAGATAGTTGGCCGGCTAACTATAACCCACCAACCGTGATATGTTCGTGCATACCAGCGCACAGCATCGGGGGTCAGCCGGCCCCCAACTTTGAAATACCCTCTCGGTGGCTTGGAAGCCCTACTGGTGGAGTTGTGGTCGAGGTAAGTTATTGCCTTATTCAAGATATATGCAAAGTATGCCTGGACAGACTGTTAATTGTTATCTAGCTCGCTTATAAGCCCCTCGATACCCCGCTGGTAAAACAAATGCGAGCCCTTTCTCACCGTGGCTGGGTTGCGTTGGACGGCCTTGATGTCCTTCCAGAGCAAGGATTCGCGCAATTCGAGCTATTCACGGGTCGCCGCGCCCCTCGGCGCCTAATGCGGACTATTGTACTCCAAGAATATAAGGCGGAAGAGGGACAAGATGATCAGAATGCAATTCAAAGCAGGCTTGAGAGCTTGGACGGACAGCCTACCTGAGACCGACCTGGTGAAATCGGGTTCCGTTGTCAGATTACTGGGGCTGTGGGGACTAGACAGTGCCGCACGCCTAAGTTTAAAAAAACGGTCATGTTACCAGTTACACGCCGTCGCCAGTCGCCTCCGTTTGCGGCCAGTTTCCATTGTTCCCGAAGAACAGAGTCGGATACTAATCGGGGTTCTCGTAACAACCGTGGAAAGGGCAAGCTCTTCTCCAGATGCGGCTGCGCAAAAATACGCCCTATAAAAAGGGCGTAAGGTTTTGATCCAGCGACATCTACCGCCACTCGGTGTGGAGCGAAGGATATCAGGCCCCATAATGCTAGTCCTCTAGACTCGTGCTTGGGGGGCCTAACACAACCTTGGGAACGCTTTGGGGGCCTTTTTTGGCCAGCAGAGCCTCTCGATAGTATATAGGTAACAATCTGAAAACAGAAATGGAAAGACTAGTCCGAAATCGAATGCATTATCTCTATTATTAGACTGGATTTTTTCTTTTCCCAACAACAAAAGAAAGGTAAACCGTGAAGCGACACGGCAAGCATCGGCCTTTCTAAACCATCCATAGCCGAGACCGAGATACCCAACTAGAATCTACGCCGGACGTATTATTAGCAAGAAAGACACGTCGTATTAACAACCCTGGTCTTTCTTCGCCTCTTCCCCCTTCTCCTCTTCATCAGACACCAGGTGGAAGTTACCACAGTTGATCCTTTTGTTATCAGGCAGGTGTATAACGACCGAGCGATTACCGAAAAAGGCGACAGTATCTTTCACATTCGAAAGGAAGAAGTCCCTGTACAAGACGTCGAAGTCGCCATCGGCAGTCCACACAGGTCCATGTTTTCCACTTATGTCCCCGACTTGGCATGTCTCAGGCACGGTGGTATTGCAGGGAGGCTGGTCACCGCGCAAGTAAGGGTCTAGGTGTCCACCTGTGGAGTAGCAGTTGCCATCTTCGGGCACCGGCTTGTCGTGAATGTGGTAGTCTACGTTTAACACGCGTCAGTCTTATTGTTAGTGAATCCAAACCCAGAATGTACGAACTTAAAAATGTATCTTTCGGAACTCCAGTAAGAGTAACACGAAAATGGATTCCAATTCCATCATCAGCACCATAGGCAGTATATTTTCCTCGAACAGTGCTGTTGTCTTTGTCCTGGAAAACCGCCTCGTACACGGTTTGAGGTTGGTTGTCTTTGATGACAGGGGCGTCAAGGGCAATTGCGGATGAAACGAAAAGTGCCAGGGTTGCGCCTGCGGCGAGGAATTTGGATAGCATTTTTGTTCGAAATATGATCAAGACGGAGTGCACCTGTTTCTTCACAAATGGGGCAGAGCTGTTTAATGTATGGCAAGCTGGAGATTGCCAGGAGGCTGTGGGAAGAGATGAAGGGTTAATATTAGGCAAACAAGTGTAACAAACAATGTTCGGGATACGAGACAGCGCCCAGGCCGATCTGAATCTTATATAGGACAAGGCTGTGCTTCTTTGTAATGTAAGAGCGCGCTCGTGTTGCCATCAAGCAACCAAGGAAGGCTCTTTCTTTCCTCAGACAACTCATCCGTAGTTCATTCTCCAATCTGTGTCATGATGCCTTTATAATTGGTCATCGGAGGAAGGGCCAACCCATGCCGCAAGTGCATTGTTTTTATTCCGATCATTTCATCTCGTTACACAAGGAGGTCTCCTTTGCAAAAACAATTTCATTTCGTTTGCGCTGACCCACGTGAGCATCAGCAGTCACCTGTCAATCACCTGTCGAGCAGGTGACTCCCGTTGTTGGTTCGATTTCCATCTCTTGGGTCCTTCGCTGTCAATCCAGGTTCTTTATGCAACTGAACTGCCGTCAAAACTTGTCAGCATAAAATTACACCCAACAAACAACCAACAAAACCCGCGGGACGAGCCAAACAATGCCAGGATTGCCATCTCTTTGTGGCTTGCATTAGCACATCAATAACACTCAATCATTCTTTGCCATGTACGGAGGCCCCCCACTTCAGCGGCTGCGACAAGTAGTAACTTTGGAGGCGGTTACAGTCACCTAATCTGGCAGGCAACGGTACGCAAGGAAACACCAGTCAAGAACTACTGAAAGGGGGAATTCATGCGATTCTCAAACTGCGAATGATTCAGCTTTTCTACCTCCTGGACCACTTTCGGCAAACCTACCATTGGCCCCTCTCGGCTACTTTTGTTCCGGGGTATTTCTTCATACCCCACATCTTATCGTCCCTCCGGACTTCTGCCGACTTGGGTTCTATGATTCTATCGGACTTCGCTCCAGCTGTGCAATTCCCCCTCGAAGATAGCGCAGGTCCTTCCTATCTCGGTCCAGTTTCCCTCGGATTCTGTAGCGATGCTGTATAAAGAGGACCTTCTGACCAGGCTTCTGCCAGGATCGCGTCGTAGAACACGATTCCATCAGGCCCTTATATTACCTGAACCCGAAGCGTCTTTCGTTCCCTAGAGCGGAGATTTTGCGGTTGTGGAGCCGATTCTAGTTTCACAATGTCTCTTGCTCAAAATCATTACGTTATCAAGCTCCCTGTGACGCCTTCGAGGACTAGATCCCTAGAACCTCGTGCGATTGCCCAACAATGGATCGCGAATCTAGAAGTTCTCCTGAAACGTGGAGACTTTGCGCAACTCCCAGAGCTCTTCCACCAGGAGTCCTGGTGGAGAGACATGCTAGCCTTGGAATGGGACCTTCGTACGATTCAAAACTGCAGCAACATTGAAGACTACGTTCGCCGTCATCAACCAAAGTCTCAGCTTTCAGCCTTCCGTCTGCAGCATGAGGGCAAGTTTCAGCCCACATTCGACAGGCCAGTGGACGGCCTAAGCTGGATATCTTCCATGTTCTTTTTTGAGACCCGTGTCGGACGTGGAGCCGGCGTTCTTCGTCTCACGCAAAACGACGCCGGAGCATGGAAAGCATACTCAATCTACACTTCGCTACAGGAATTTAAAGATTTCGAAGAGCCTCTCGGATCAAAAAGGCCAGAAGGAACTATCGAAACAATGCCGGGAGGTCTCAGTCAAGGAAACTGGCTAGAAAGACGTCAAAGACAACAAGAGTTCATAGATGAAGATCCTACTACACTTGTTGTTGGCGCCGGTGAGTATATTCACCTATATCTAACTCTTAGTATGGATGTAGCTGACACAATGCTATAGGTCAAGCTGGTCTTAATATGGGTTCCCGGCTTCAATCCCTCGGTGTATCCTGCCTGATAGTCGACCGGAATGAGAGGATCGGCGACAACTGGAGAAAGCGCTACAGAGTAAGCCCCGATTTCGGTAAAGCTACGTAGTGTAAGAACTCTGCTAATAATGTCTTACTCCAGACTCTGGTAACCCACGATCCGGCGGAGTTCACTCACATGGCGTACCTTCCTTTCCCAAAGAACTGGCCGCAATTCACCCCTAAAGACAAGCTCGGCGACTGGTTCGAAGCATATGCTAGCATCATGGAGCTGAACGTGTGGCTCCGGACCAGCATCAAATCCGCGGTATATGATGACGCAAAAGCACAATGGACAGTGGTTGTAACCCGAGGTGATGGGTCCGAGCGAACCCTCCATCCACGCCATCTTATCTGGTGCACCGGTCACTCTGGCGAACCAAAGGTTCCGACTTTCCCAGGACAATCCCAGTTCAAGGGGCAGGTATACCATGGTAGCCAACACGATGACGCATCCAAGCATGACGTTAGAGGGAAGAAGGTTGTCGTTGTCGGTACCGGGAACAGCGGACATGACATTGCTCAGAACTTCTACGAGAACGGCGCACAGGTAACCATGCTCCAAAGAAGTGGAACATACGTCATCACAGCAGAGAAGGGTGTCTTCATGATGCACGAAGGCCTCCACGAAGATAACGGGTATGGATCCCCTCAGAAGCTAGAAAGGATCATCACACTAACGTCGGAAATCCCAACAGACCACCAACAGAAGAAGCCGACATCATGGCAGAAAGCTTACCATACCCAGTCCAATTCGCACTCGCCGTCCACTTCACAAAGAGAGCATACGCCGCAGAAAGAGATATACTGGAGGGCCTCCAAAAGGCAGGTTTCGAGCTCGACTTCGGCGTAGACGGCGCCGGCATCTCCCGCGCATATATGACCCGAGGCGGAGGCTACTACATTGACGTCGGATGCAGCCCGCTCATCGCCGACGGCAAGATCAAAGTCAAGCGTAGTCCCGAGGGAATCACCGGGTTCAATGAGAGCAGTCTGATTCTGAAAGACGGCAGCGCTCTTGAAGCAGACATCGTCGTCCTTGCTACGGGATACGATAACATGCGGACCACCGTCCGCAAAATCCTGGGTGATACAGTCGCAGACCGGTGCAAGGATGTCTGGGATCTTGATGAGGAAGGAGAGGTCAATGCGGTACGTTGTATTGTTCATCATACGCTCATGCTTACCCTCTCCCTCCCATTCCTCTCAGTATGCACACTATCAACAAACTTGGCAATACTAACAGCAATACAGATGTGGCGACCCAGCGGCCACCCGGGCTTCTGGTTCCATGGAGGAAACCTAGCCCTATGCCGTATCTATTCTAAATTCCTGACTCTGCAGATCAAGGCTATAGAAGCGGGCTTGGTATCCCAGGGACAGGATCAAGCCCAGTCGAAATTGTAGAATGTGATGCTTTAGTGGCATAGATCTAGACCTTAAGAGATATGAACAGAGTAATGGGGTATGACATTTTCCAATTTTCACTATACTACCATAATAATCCATCCAGGGGATTACGATTGACTCTCGAGAGATGCATGACGTACGGATAGACAAGCACATAGCACACATCTATATTGAAAAAGACACATCTAAATCTAGGCCCAGAGGTACGGATACAAATCTCCATCTTCAAGGCCAATTCATGCAAGTTCATTCATATACAGGTATAGATCAATACCTAAGCAATCAAGAACGCCCCTTTTCGCCCACAAAACCAGATACGTCACACATATACACAAGAAGATCGTTGAAAAAACATAAAGCCACACATATCTTATCTTGAATCATTAGAGAAGTCAAAGCCAAAGTGCAGCTATAAAGGTGCATGCCCTACTCGCCTTCCTTGGCACCGTCGTCGATTATCATTTCCACATCCTTGACAGGATGGAGAAGCATAGGAGGAAGACACATTCTGCCTTCACCGGCTAGTTCAGCCAGCTCACCACCGTCGTTGTCGACCTTGTAGCCCAGCCAGCGTCTCCAGAGGTTCGGCGAGAATCCGGCCGAGTAGAACCACGTAGTGCCCCTGAAGTTGTGCTCGCGGTCTCCGAAAATGGATGTTCTGGCACCGCCCGATGCGCCGTTGCGGCCTGCATTGAACACGGACTCGAGGTATTTAGTCGGCCATCTCCGGTCGATATAGACAGAATGGGGCACGTAGACTGCCTTGAACCCGTGGTGTAAGGCGGTGGTGGCAGGCCACATCTCGGAAAACATACTGTGGCGTTTGTGAACCATCTCCTGGTGCATGGTGTGCAACAGTTTGCGCGAGAGTCTGGACGCGGTGATAATAGCCGCACGACGTGGGGGCATGCCGTTATCCTTGTTGTATCCTGTCACGTCGTCGCGGAGGAGCCAGCTTGTTCCTTCGGGGTCGTAGAGAGGGTTGAAAACGATCAAGTCCGCTTCCTCATCGACCCCCCAGTCGTACCGATCCTTGTCCATCGTGGTCGGTGGGATTCCTTCTCCCTCAACTTCAAGGATATCGCGTTCGTCAGGCCGGTCCGGACCCCAGACAGCTTTATCTCCCTGTTGATGAAGACGAGCTTTATCTCCTGAGGACTGGTCCTGCCCGGGTCGGGGCGCACTCCATAAGTTGTTAGGGCTGTTGGTCCCAATCTCAGTCTGCACCCGTACCATGTGTTTGAAATCTTCCCAGGTTCCATGGACATCAGGGACATAAAAGCGAGCATTCCTTTCCCACAGCTCCTTCCGTGGCTGCGCCCGGGCCCAGCTCGCAACCTTGTCGAAGAGATGATACCAGTGACCAGTGTAGCGCGCATCCATCTCCCAGTTCCAATAGTAGTCATATTCCGGATGCTGCTGTGCAAAATACTGCGTGGGCATGTGGGTGCTGCGGTATACGCCATGAATGGGTAGCCCCCGGGTCATGTTTCTTCCAGTCCGGAGTATAGAAGGGACATCTGTCGCTCCGACCAAAGAGTACCCATGCCGCGGAATTCTTCTGGCAGGGCATCCTTTAGCACCCGTTCGTACGTCTCATCATCAGACCAGATTTGGAGATTCTCATCTTTGACATGCACTAGAAAGTGAATCGTGTACTCTCCACCGGAAAGCAGAGAGAGTTCGGAGATCAACGATCGCAGATACAATATATCCTCCGGAGTATAGTGAAAGTCATGCCACGTCCGTATAATCACCGCTGTTCGAGGCAAGCGCCCTGTCCCCGCTTGAGGCAGCTCAGGGTCGACAGGAGCAGCCTCATGAGGTTTGTCATTTGAGTCTCGAGCACCGATTGGCATAGACAGGAAGCGATTCGAACGCGGCTGTGGGAGGTCTTTGAAGCGATGACCATTTGCTACCAGGCACCGATTCTGAGCGGCAGCCCAGTCGACTTTGCGAAAGTCCACTGGTGGATATTCATCCCAGACATGTTCCGCGCCTTCTCGATGGCCTTCCAAGCCAGCACCAATGCCACCTTTCCTGACACTATATCCTAACCCATAGGGACCTAAGCGGCCAAAGCGATCAAAGCAGACATCATCCCGAATGCCTATCTCTTCATTTGAGCCCATGACGGCTTCTGGAAACCCACGAGGCACACCAGGATAGGAATGAACCAGGGGAATACGCATTGTTTCTTTTTCGTCTAAGAAGCATTCCCGTTTCTCGCCGTATTTTGCAATGTATTCCGGTGAGGTGTAGTTGGGGTACGGATCGAAAGCTAGACTAGAAATGGGCAGAGCCTCATCCCGAGCTTGGAGGCCTGTTGCATTCGCTTCGGCATCGCCCCCCAGTCCCATCACATCTGGGTTGTCACCTGGGTATTCAGGTACCTGCCTTTACGCGGCACCAGGGACCGCAGCCCACCATGATATCGTTTTAGAAAAGGGAAACTCTCCCACTGGGGCGGTTTTGGGGTTGTCTTTGGAACTTCGAGGGGGACCTGGGTAACGGAGGATCTGATTGTGAATCGAAAGAGGGTAAGGATGAAGAGTACGAGCGCGATGAACAACCCAAAGCACAGTCGCCTCATGATCCGATTGGGCACGCGATAGAACCCCGTCACGGGCCGGGGACGGCGGCGTGCGGGACTGTCTAGCATGGGTTGATAGGAAGCAGCGGAGGAGGTCACAGAGTCGTCACCACTATCTGAGTCGAACGAGCTGTGGCTATGTTGTCGGTGGTGTTTAGGCCGGAAGGGCTGTTTTTCGACATCTATCACCGCGTCTCGGCTGTTGTACGCGGAGGCATGCCTCCTCGTCTTACCTGTCATGATTGAGAGGAACCGGTGGACATCGGACGGAATGCTGAATACGTCACCGTGCGGTCGGTAGAATGGTCAGTGTGGGACGGCGTTGACGTCTCACCGGAATGGGAGAGAGTATATCTTCCTCGGAGTGAACTATATATACGTAGAGAATAAGCATTGCGAGAAGCATGAAGAAGAGACAATTTAGGTTCCCGCTACAGAGACATACATACCCAGAGATCAGGATGCGACACTATCGATCAGTGGCGTTCAATGTTTGGACGGCCGCAACGGATGCGGGGAAGGAATGGAAGAGTTCTGGCAGTTCGACCGTCGGCGGTGACCAAGTCGATGGATATCAATTGATTTGCATCAAGTTGGGATTCAAAACTCAGGCGAACAAGACATAGGAAAACAAAACAGCGACCCCAGCAACTACTAGTATTGCAATCCAATCCAATCGGCGTTGCCCAAGGGATATCCCACGCTTACGCACGCTAATGCGGGCCAGACCGGCTTGGCAGGTGTGAACCGATGGAAAGAATCGAGTCAGGCACGTCCAGTACAATCATGGGGATGAAAGCTGCAAGGATGAAGAAATGTCTATAGGATTGAGAGTTTCCTCCCGATCGACTTTTTTTAAGTATTCCAAGTTCCTTCTGGTTGATGCTGCTTCCGGAAGGCGTTTGCCCCGTTGCTCAATCCGGATTAGCAAGGGTCCTAAACAGGACGGGACTATTCCCTTTTCATCCCTTCGCTACCTTGACTTGGAAGTTGAACAAAGAGAACGAAGCTTCACTCTGGTCGACTCCTTTCGGTCATGTCCAGGTCTCTTGAGCAGCTGCTGCATTGGGGAGACACGTGAGATCATAACGGTGCAAGTATATCACTCCGTGGGCCGTACATCAATTCCTCTACTCTGGATAAGACACCAGTACAGGTCATCTGTTGATATTCTGCGTCAATAGCATAAATCCATAGTGAGTGCTACGTACTATACTTACCGTCGACACACCAAGTTATATTCATAAGAGGGACGACCAAAGACTCCATTACAGAAGGAACACTTCCCTGCAGACACCACCCGCCGTATCTTCGGGCGAAGAAAATGTGCAACCAAGAACAGTAGCACAAACGTCGTTAAGAGTCTGGGTCACGGTATTAATGCTTCCCTGGTCTCTTGGAAGAGTTGCGGTATGACGAAAATAGATCCATTCATATCACCCGCCCTAGTATTCCAGCCAACATAGTGTTACAACCGAATCCGAGTGGATATTAAACCACAAATATAGATCGGCTCAACTCGAGTGCCGTTGCTTGACTGACCTATAGCCCGGACGCGCCTTCACGATTCCTAACATGACCTGCAAATAAAGTCGGGAGCTTCAGATCTCTGGGCGTCTACTACCCAATCATTAAAGTTATTCTCATTGAAAGTGAGCATTTTTTCAACTGTCGATAGATCACCAAGCCACGAGGGATTGTTTTAAAGGAATGACACGTATTCACACCGTCACACGCGGGGGTCAAAGATAGGCTTGGCTTGTCGGTGATGAGTTGCCTCGTATGCAGGAAGATAGCAGGGCGCCTAACGATCAATGGCGGTCGAAACGTAACAGGCGTCGCTGAAGGGGAGAAATGAGTCCGCAAGGGATTCCCAGCAATAGCGAAAAGAGGTCACTGTCTTGTAAGCAATAGTATAGTATCGTGTCATCATATAGAGCTACCGAGAAGGCCATCAGAAGATGATTCCGCTGCCTTTAAATGGGGAGGAAACTTTGGAGGTCGCTTACCATTTCCGGCCATGCGCTAGGAGTGGTACTTCGCGACTCTATGACGCCGTTCAGAGGGCCCACATCTCGCTCAGTCCCCACAGTAGCTTTCAACAAGTCTCGACCAAGGACATCTCTCAACTTGCTGAACGTGACAAGTCAGTTACTAGTAGCATGCCGTTTCGTGGTCATGTGGTTGTCCCCAATCCTGCTGACATCAGATTGACGGAATGCCATTGGATACAATTGTAGTTCCTTGCGCAAAGCTCCAGGTCGCCCAAGGTTGAACTCTATAATAGACCTGTATATAAGTCATGTCCATGTCGGAAGGTTATCCACGTTTCATGCTTGACCGATATCCTTGGGAATATCACGGCCGGCATGATTGGGCCGGTTTTATTTAGAAACAAAGTCGTGGCACGTGTGACCTAAACAACGAACACATATGCAGGAGAAAGCCAGCTTTCGAGTCCAGGGTCAGTTATTGTTCTACCTCACTGCTACACTGCATCGTCGATCCCCAGTACCACTACTACTACTACTATTACTACTACTCACCCAACAACTAGGATAGACAGCCAAAAGCAAACATGGTATGTACCATTCCCTGCGAGACACATCCCCCAGTGTATATAGCCCTCTCCTAGTGAATACCCAAACCAAACTAAGATCTCCAGGAAAGTGGTTTCTCCCCGCTAGCAATTCCAACCCCAGTGGAAGCCACAGCCAAATTCAACCTCCCTCTAGATATCCTCCTCCCACTCCTCCTCTTCCCAACCATCTTTCTAGCCCACCACATCCGACAAGACTACCATGCCTACCTAGCTCTAGGCCCTGGGGGAGTACCCTCAACCCCAGCAGGGTACCTCCAGATCTGCATCCTGCGGCCCTTCGCCGTCCGGAACCCCCTGGCACCACCTTCCCTCCCGTGCACTCTCCTCCCCCAAGAAGGCTATCTCAAAAGCCGCAATCTCCCAGACCGCTCCGGGCCCCGTCCTAAAGTAGTCGGCATCGTGCCGCACCGACAAACGACCCAGAGGGCGAGTGCAGAAATGTACGCAGCGCTGACGAAGGAAATCCACGGCCTCGTCAATGCCTACCCCTCCGTACTTTACACAGGCACATCATGCTTCGAGAAGCATAGTACAGGAATCTTCTGTAAGCTTGGCCCGGCTGCGTTGTCACGTCAAGCGCAGGAGCAGCAACGGAAGCGGCTCACCTGTAACGGCGAGGTCTGCCATGCGCATCCGATTGACGGGAGCTTGCATCTCACGCTACACCCGGCGGATGTGCGGCTTGTGCTGGAGAAAGGCTGGGGTGAGAGACACCCGATTGCTCGAGAGAATTGGTGGTGGTGGAGGCGCTCCGTGCCGTCCGGGTTTGTCATGATCTATGCTCCGAGGACTGAAGAAGAGCGGAGATGTGTAGTGGAGATCATTCGCGCCGCAGCATGGTGGGTGCGAGGGGAAGCATTGCCTAACGATTTGCCAGAGTAACGTATTCCTATCTGGGGAGATGGGTGCATGAGAATGAGTAGAAACGAACCAGGAAGACTTTCACGTGCAAACGTTTGCTATGCTTGTTTGAGAAGCATTTGAAAGGGATCAGAACTAGATCGATGCAGTTGGAGAATAGCAAGAGCCTACAGGCCACAAAATCTACATTTTCAGTTAAACAGATAAAATGCGTCGACATACATATGACGTCTGGAGCGTAAACCCGTTCTCCGTGATCATGAATATCAAGTCTTGACTGCAAGTGAACACAAGGAGACCAAAAAAGAAATGAAAGATATGAGGTTTCAGGGCACAAAAGGAGTATTTCGTTAGGATCGACGCCGGGATGAAAGAGAACAATAAAAGCTAAATAGCATAGAAGAATGAAGAGCCGTTAGAGAACATACAAGCACCACCAAGTAGCATATCCCATCCCTACGCGAGGTGTCTTTTCCGGTTCGGCCCCCATCCATCATCCCCAACTCCCAGTCACACATCCAGGTATTCTTCCGCTCATCGCATTATAACAATTTAATCACGGTTCGATTTCCGCAAAGCATCGGCGAGCCACTCGAGACCCTCGTACAGACCGTCACCGGTGGTAGCGCAGGTAGATTGGATGTACTACACATATAGACATTAGAAGTTGGTTCAACCTCTGGAGATCCAGGGGACCGAGGCAGACTTACCCAAGGGCGACGAGTGAGACTTTGCAGACCAAGCTGCTGGGTAATCTCGGCGGGGCTCATGGCATTCTAGAGAGAAAGAGCGTTAACATCCGCGCCCCACCAATGTCCAGGACAACCAAAGTAATATCATACCGGCAAATCTTGCTTGTTAGCGAAAACAAGGAGAAGAGCATCACGGAGTTCATCCTCGTTCAACATGCGCTGCAACTCTTCCCGAGCCTCGACAATACGATCGCGATCGTTGCTATCGACGACGAAGATAATACCCTGAGTGTTCTGGAAGTAGTGTCTCCAGAGAGGACGGATCTTGTCCTGACCACCGACATCCCACACGGTAAACTGAATGTTCTTGTATTCGACAGTCTCGACGTTGAAACCTTCACAACGGATGGCAACATGTCAGCAATCCCATCCAACTATACACCCCGCGCGGCGATGAGGTACCAAGCCAACTGGCGGAGAGCGGCCCCGGAGGATAAGGGGAGGGTGACTGACCGATTGTGGGGATGGTGGTGACGATTTCACCCAACTTCAGCTTATACAGGATGGTGGTCTTTCCGGCTGCGTCAAGACCAACCATCAGAATTCGCATCTCCTTTCTGCCCCATAGGCGGTCGAACAACTTGGAGAAGGTGAGACCCATGATGGCGGTGGCGAAAAGGGATTCTCAAAGGTCTGGGAATAATGCGATGTTAGATGGAATGAGACCAGTTACGCTGCAAATGAAATAGATGTCGCTCGGTCGTCTGAGAATTGAACCAGAGGAACTCGGTAGAAGTAGGGTTGAAAACTTGAAATCAGAAGACGGCGAATGGGGAGATGTGGTTGAACGAGGGGCGTGATCACGTCTCGGAATGCACAGTGGCCAGACGGGCAAATAATCAGGGGGGGAGAAAGAAGGCCACACAGGAACACCCAAGGCACAAGGGGGAAACAAAGAGATACAGGGAAATAAAAAAAGGAGAGCAAAAAATTCTAGGGAGAAAAGAATAGGAATGGCTTACCAAGGGTATGAAGGTGAGTAAATGGTGAGAATCACAGATCGAGATATGGCGGGAAGGGAGAATCGAGTCAAACGGGTAGAGACGACGAAGACAAGTCCCAAACGCTGTTTCGTTAGTTAGTATGGAGCGCCGGCGGACCACTGTTTTTGTCCAAGTTGGAAATTTTGGGTGCCAAAGTGCCAGGTCGAGAAATTCAGCCGCCGGCGTAGCTTCCGTCACTAACGAAAACCCGACTAGAACCACAACAATCCTATTCTGTTAAGATTTATTACAAGTAGGACTGGAAAATCAAATGAGGACCATAAGGGGGGAGGTTAGGAAATATGACTCTAAGAGAATATCGATATCAATTTGTTAATATAATTAAATTCTCCAAAAAAAATTTGATAAATATATTAAGATCCTCTGTTCTATTATAAATTTCATTCATCAACACTCATCTTATATAAATTACATGAATCTGATTGCCTAGACACTTCAGAATACCTCTGCCACGAAGAGGACACGGTGTTTCCCACTGCTACTCGTAATCAACACCGTACCGTACCTTTGGTTTAGTCCCATTCACCTAAGGTTATCTCGTCTGATTTCTTCTTCCTTCCACTGCCACTTTATTTCTTCCCCCCCTCCTTTGCCCCCCCCAAAAAAAAGAGGTCCAGACACCACCCCGTTTCCACTCGGTTTCCAGCCTTCTGATAGGTTCCCGACGAGTTTTGAGGTCTCCCCGTCCCAGTGGATCTCTTGTCGGTGGCTCTCTCGTGCTCTCTTGACAAAGAATTGCGTATCTATCGTTGATGATAATCCAGACCCCTCCCGCATATGGTAGGCGGTTTATCAAACCCACAAGGGATCACTGGGAATACTACGCGTCCTGTTTCTCATCTAGAGAGAGGGAGTATTATTTCTATACAACCACATTGCTTTATTTCTATAACGACAAGTAATCTTTTCAGGTGCCGCCACTTTGGTACATTTGACATGTGACCGCTTATAGTTCATGCTGGCACAGAATGTACCGAGTACATCTTACTGTAGTGCTTTATGTACACAGTACGGAGTCTAGTAGCGGTCAGGATCCGGACCGGGAAAACTTTCATCAGTGACCAGAATTGCTTATTAATCACCGCCCACTCATGATCTTTCAGATAAGCTTATTCCAAACGAAGTAGATATAGTTATGCTTTCTGATATATCACCTGGATACTATGCAATGCGTCTGAAATTCAACCTTCCCTCTGCTTTTTACTAGGTTTATATTGAATTTACGATTTGTTATGTATCCCGCGAGAAATACAATTCATTACCCAGTTTAAACCGTCTGAAAGATGAAAGGGAGCCTAATCCTACAGGAACACCTTGTACATATGGCACAGCAATTGACTCAACATGGTTTGATTATGGCTTGGAATCGAAGCCCAGATAAACATCATTTTCGGAACGCTAATTCATGCGAGTTACTGGCAGGCCCCACTCGAGTGTGGGGTTCACAATCATTCCACAAAGTTGATACAGCGAGAATGACAGGTAGACGGCCTAGAGCTTGTATGAACGTGCTCCAATCTCCCAGGGGAAGGTAACTGCCGAGTCCGTTTCCTGGCAATTTCCGAGATTTCTTGTGGTTGGATCGATTTAAGCTTAAATCATCTAGCTCCCCGTTGACGAAGTATACCCTTCATCATATCGTTTCGTGCCATATCCAAAGGAGTACTACCGGTGTCCGAGATTGCATTGATGTCGGCGCCATAATCAAGCAATAGCTGAACAATCTTCGCATGACCATTGCCGACAGCCCAATGAAGCGCCGTCCAATGAAATAGAGTTCTCATGGACGGGTTTGCTCCCTGTTCTAACATTCGCTTCACATCGTCGTAGTACCCACCAGCAGCAGCACTATAAAGAGGGAACTCCCCTCTAGCGTCCAGAACGTTCAGGCCTGACGCCTGCCCATTTGAACAATGCGTCTGATGTGAAGACTTCCTTGTATATGAACGTGTCAGAGTCATATCCCGGCAGAGTTCGTCCCCATGTCCGGCTGAAATCGACCGTTGTGTTTCTAAGTCCCGAAGCTTGCGAGTTGAATCCTGCTGTCTGGACTCGAACTGTTTCCTAAGGTTCCTCATTTCCTCCACGCAACTCTTTTGGGTTCGACTAAGATCTTCTCGAAGCTGGTTGACGTCTTTTAACGCAACTTGCAGCTGTTGGTAGAGGCTCGCCTTCTCATCCGCTGCCCTCTGTTGCACCTCCTGCAGTTGTCGAGCAGAAGTCTCCTTCGAAGCCTGAAGCTCTGCTTCCAGGCGTTCCATGCGCTTATCCTTCTCGTTGATTATGCTAAGCAATTCTTCAACGGTCGGCGTCGGCATCGCATCGTCATCAACGGAGTCCTCAACAAGACCTGCGTCCGCAATCCCGCTGACAACATCCCAAATGATATCGCGATAGCTCTGCCCATCACTCGAGTCCAAAACCCGACATATAGAAGCAACAGAACCATACACCGCATTCAGCTTAGCCTCCGTACGAACCCCCTCGTCCTGGGTCCGCAGAAGATCCCAGAACGTCGTCGCAAAGACGATATGATCCGCAGAAGCAGATCGAAGCAACCCCTGAAAGACAGACAGATTCTCGCTTGCATTCTGCGTCACATTCGTGTCCGTTATATCATGGAGATACACGATCCCATCAACGGCAGAATCTGTTCGTCCGGACTTCCGCGCTACGGCGCTGTTAATGCCCTCCACCAGCTCGGCGACAGGGATATCTGACGTCGGGGTATCAAGCAGCCATAGATCTCTGTCGTTGACTTCACCTTTGAAGATACGGGTTGACAAAAGATCACCTTTGTTCCTGGGATTGCGGGCGTCCGGGATAACGCCTGTTACTTGTTCGATGAAGACATCTCGCTCTGGTCCCCCCAGGCCCAGTAAGGCTATTACTGTGGGCTTTGGTTGCTTTGTTGGTCTAAAGCGTGGCCTGGTGCTTTCTGTCAGTTTGGCGTTTCCTATTTTTAGTGCGGGGAACCTCAACATTTTTCTCTTGGGTTGGAGATGGATTTATGCCCAATTCCGCAACCGAGGATGGATACAAGAACGGAGATGTTCGAAAGGGAAAATAACAAGTGCTAGATTAATCGTCTGTTAAGCTCTGTGAGTAAATTTAACAGATTGTGAAGGTCGCACCATACATATATTGTCATGACTCCTGTGCTGGCTCATGATTCATCTCTAGGCTGCTGATGTGGCAAGAGCTACACCAATCTTTATATATAACTGGCCCACTATGGTTCTTTCTTGTGCAGACGGTGATACCCACATATTACATTATTTAAATAGTCAAACCACCGAGGAATCTATCTCGAGCATAATTTTAGTAGTCCTCTCCTTGATGGTTCATATTTATTTTCGTTTCTCATTGCCAGCCTTTTGCGAATTGCCGCTCTATATCTAGATGGAAGTGATTGGAGTAAAATGAAAGATCTCAGTAGTCCGATGCTATTAAGTGTTCCATGGTGCTACCGACACCATCTTCTCATTTACATCTCTGCATCAATTTTGTTATAGCACATCCCTAAATTTACATGGAATACGGCGACTGTGATAATCGAACAAAAGAAAATAACAATAATCTTAATAATTACAATGCCTTGGTTCATCCAGGCACAGAAACATAGATAGACGTCTTAAGCCACAAAGATCTGGGCATGCTCGTTGTGCTCTGGCGAAGCTGTAGCTCCTCAGCTCTTATCCAAAACGAAAAGTGGGAATGTCATTGTTTAGTCATTTAGTGACCAACTGATGAGATTTCGGATAGTCCTATTCCTCCTTTCGATTCGATATTTTGTGCTTAGAAGATCGGACAAAGGAACGGGATAGTGATTGATAGATAGTTTTGCCCTCCACGGTGTCGCTAAGGTAGCCGAACAGTGTGAGGAGCACGATGGACAAAAACATAATGACGCCGAAGCTGACCCAATATTGGTTGATTGTGTACACCCCCTTGACGTTCTTGAGCTCGGTCGAAAAGTACCCGGTCATCAAGCTGACGGGCAAAAACAGGATTGTCACTTTAGCTAGCAGAATTGTGATCCTCGTGAGCTTTTCGACAGCCTGCGAGTCTTTGAGCGCGATGAGATTGAAGTTCTGGTAGGCGGTTAGTACTTGTCTCGGGAGAATTAAAAAGCAGAATACACCTACTAGGAATGTGAGAGATTCTTTCTCCGTCAAGCAGGTGTCAATCTCAGACAAGCAGTAGAGCTTGATACGGTCGAGCAGTCTTTCAAAACGGGCCACAGCAGGTGAACTCAGCTGTACACCAACAGAGGTGTCTAAATTGCTTGAAAAACACCAACTACTCTGCAGGGTCGGCTGTCGAAGGTCCACCATCTCGTTTTCTCCGAACATAGGCCCGATGGGCAGTGGAGGACGGTTCGATTTCGCTTCGTCTCGAAGATGGCGCTGTCGTTGAAGAATCCGCATCATGATAAGTTCGTAACTCTGATAAAGCCGCTTCAAGACGGCTAATCTCCTGCCTAACCAGTGTAGCTCATTGACTAGCCCAACCACAGGCTTGCCTAGCATCTCTTCTCTCTATCAAAGTGTCAGGGTTCCTGAATAATATCCAGCTGGGGATGATTCTGAGTCTCTTACCAGTCGATCAAGAAGAACCCCGTATTGATGCTCTCGTTTTGCAACAAGTGCGTAACTGGAAACCCAATCGTCGAATATATAATAGAATAATAAACTAGGGCCATCCTCTTGTTTTATACTAGCCTGATCTGGGCCAGCACCGTGAGCAGGTCGTACGCGAATGGTCACTAATGAATCGCTCTCCGACAGGGCCGAGTGCCGCTTAGACACACCGGAAAAGATAAGTTGTACATTTCGGCGAACTATACCGAGTACCGACTTCAGCTCCCGCTCCGACGGCCTAGAAAGTCCAGGGTACGGGTTCTCTTGCATGGAAATAACAGTGCCTTCGGCGATTAACATTGGATCACAAAGTGACCGGAGGCAGCAATCATACCGTCATCACATAAGATCAACCAAGACCATAGTCGTCTCCCATCAGGGAGGCCCTGTCCATTGGGAAATTCAACGTTCGGCACTACGTACAACGAGTTGTAGCCAATACATGTATCTAAACAGCATGTCAGCAAACGTAATGTCATCAAGTTCAGTGAGGGTTGTATACATCTCGGACCGTAGTCTACGGAGCAGAAATGCCAGATTTGATTCGTGACATGCGCAAAGGTAAGGCCTCTGAATGACGCAGCCGCTTGTACCTCATCAGGATCTGACAAAGCCTTCAGTTCTTGAGCTTCTTCAAGGTCATTCTTACGGGAGACACGAAGCAACCGGTCGTCGTTCTTCTCGCGAACCCCATTTGCTAAAGGATTCGTGGATTGGGCCGGGCGAACTACCGGGTCAGTGCACATCATCCCCTGTAAACGCTCGGAGATGCCGTAGTGGCTCGTGATTGTCTGGGAGATGTCAGTCTAGTGTGAGCTCAGTGAAGCAAAGCTCGACAAACTTTGACTAAATCTTTCTGCTGCTCTGGCGACCAGATGTTACTAATACCATGGTAAGTACGCTCCAGAGCATCGCCGAGTTTAGTGTGTATCTCACATCCATCTGGTCCCAAAGAACCTTGGCTTCTAGAGTTCAGTTAGTATAAGCTCATTTACGATCAACACTATTGTATCTAGTCACATACGGCGCTGCGCAATAGTGTCGCAATATCTTCTTCTTCCAGGTCAACTGCACACCACGCATCGTCGTTTCCGAAATCTAGCACAAAGTTTCGGGTCTCTGCATCTTGCAGATAGCCTAGATAAGCACGGAATTGGGCCTCATCATCAATGTCGTGAAATTTCCCTTGGAGATTTGAGTTGCTCTTGAAGCTAGAGTAGTATTCCTTGGGGGTCTGGAGGCTGTGCGATGAAGGAAACCCAGACATGTCTCCTTAGCCTTAGCAAATACGAGCTGGTGACGACTGGTGTTTGGTTGACAAGATGGTATGCGACTGGAAGATTAAGGATATAGGAAAGAGCTAATAGATGAGTAGAGTGAACGGGAAGGAAGGGGGAAACGAAGTATAAGCGCTTTTGAGTAGGTTGCCGCGTAGGTAGTCCATGCTGCAGATACTCAGCCTCGTGCTGGAGTCGGGCGAATGACCGCGGTCATTCGTAGGCTGCCGGCCCTTAGCACTAGCAATCTTTAGCCGCCGATGTTGTCACAAACACAGCTGACACGGACACGCACTTCGATGATGTTGTTTCGGTTCCACTCAGTCAATAACAAGCTTTTAAACCCTCAAATGTGAGAACTATGTTGCATTAATACTTTCACAGGCACTCCTGACCCTCTGTTTTGATCTAACACATAGTATACTTGAACATATCCATGGACCCATTGCCCGTACCTGAGTCTTACCATATCGGGTTAGTCACGATCTTTATCACGGGGATTGAATGCGGATCTCTTATTTAAGAGTTAGCCCACCTGGCCACCTCAAAAAATAAAAAGTGTCGTCCCCCGAGCCGGAATCGAGCCGGCGACCTTCTGATTACAAGGTTATAAACTCCATTACAGTCAGACGCCATATCCAACTAGACCATCAGGGGTTTAGACGTTTTGATAAGCAGGTTAATTCCATAGATGAACTTGCGTAGCTTCCTTGCAGAAGAACGTTTCGCTCATTGGTATTTGAAACGCTGCCAGCTTAATAAGGCTGCGATTCTTAGGGCAAGACCAGTCCTAATACGGTTAGTAACATCCACACCCACAAGCGGAGACGCGATTTTCTTTGCGGCGGGCGGCGGCGCCTTTTTTACTTTCGTTCTTTGCACGATATTCAGCGCAGAGCCACACCATAAGGATTTGATTCTTTTGGAAGACTGTCGCCATCATGTCTAAGATCACAGTCGGTATGTGTTTGGATTCTATTATGATCTAGATCACCAGCTTTCAGTAACTAACCCATTTTTTTCTTTGTTACAGCCGGAGTGCGCCAGAATATCCAGCAGCTGCTGGACTACTCTCAGAATGAGAAGAAGAGAAACTTCCTCGAGACCGTCGAGCTTCAGATCGGTCTGAAGAACTACGATCCCCAGCGTGACAAGCGTTTCTCTGGCACCATCAAGCTGCCTTCCGTTCCTCGCCCCAACATGACCATCTGGTACGTGCCGTCCCGGTCGCATCGCCGTTTCGATAAAAACTTGGAGGAAAACGATGCTGGATGGAGTAGAATGAGCGAGACGAGCTGACAAGGGATGGATTATAGTATTCTTGGTGACCAGCACGATCTCGACCGTGCTAAGCACCACGGTATTGATGCCATGTCCACCGAGGATCTTAAGAAGCTTAACAAGAACAAGAAGCTCATCAAGAAGCTTGCTCGCAAGTACGATGCCTTCCTTGCTTCCGATGGTCTCATCAAGCAGATCCCCCGTCTCTTGGGTCCCGGTCTTTCCAAGGGTATGTTCACTATCTAGCGCTGCGCCCGGTGAGATTATGCAATATGCTGACAGTTTTCACAGCTGGTAAATTCCCTACCCCCATCTCTCACGCCGAGGACATGGCCAACAAGGTCACCGATGTCAAGTCCACCATCAAGTTCCAGCTTAAGAAGGTTCTCTGTCTCGGTGTTGCCGTTGGCAACGTTGGCATGACTGAGGATGAGCTGATCGCCAACGTCATGTTGGCCATCAACTACCTCGTCTCCCTCCTCAAGAAGGGCTGGCAGAACGTTGGCAGCCTTGTCCTCAAGGCTTCCATGTCTCCTCCCAAGCGTCTCTACTAAGTTATTGGCGCTCTCTGGTCACGCTGGGGATTTTTTAGGAGCTTAGAAGTGGGATTGTATATGCCATAGTTTCGGAAATCTAACTCACGACTTTGTTCCTAACCCGTTCTCCGTGTCTTTGCCGTAGCAGTAATTCTGGTGTTAGATATATAACGTAGTGTGTAAGTCTTTGGTATTTGCATTAGCCATGCCAAACGGCAATATATCTATAAATACACAGTAGCCCAAGCATGTACGCCCGTGGGATGCTCATTGCATGCCAGGCATCAAGTCCGTCTTGTCTAGAATCATTCCTCTCATGCCAATAAACTCCCGGAGGTTTTCCCACTCCTCTCCCTCTTCCTCGCCACGCATGTAAATATCCTTAAATCCCCACTGAAGTGCGACTCTGTCCAAAGCGGCTCGTTCCTCTTCCCGAAGCCAACGATGCCGCAATGGGACACCAGGCAACCATGTTACCCGCTCCATCTGATCATTGGCCGTGGTGATAGCCAGGATACCCACTGATGATACACCTCCCACGTATGCAAGACTTGCAGCGAACGCAATGCCTGTAGCCGTGCCGGGATCCATGGTATTCTGGAGCGTTGCAGCCCAGGATGCAATGGCATAGCAAGCAGCCGGTGCAGCAGCCAGCCCACCAAGCGGCACGGCCGCTTTCTTAAAGACCTTCGCGCGGGAGAACGCGGGAGCGCAGAACGTATTATCGATGATCGCAAGAACGAGAGACAGGTTCCGCTGCTCGATAGCGACATCTAGAGCCATGTTGGCGAGTTCGGTGGGGATAGCACTGTTAATGTCTTTGGGATTCGCCTTGTGGAACTTAACGGGGGAGCTATTCTCCTCCGGGACCGGCTTGTGGGCATATAGGTGAAATATCTCTGGAAAGTGTCCGGCACGCTTGAGTAAACACTGAACTTTGGTGTAGCAGGCCAGTGCTTCCGGGGAAATAAACACCTTCTCATCCGTCAGCAGCTCGTAGGTGATCTCGGAGAGAGCACTGGCTAGTCGTGGGTCCGCAATTTTCGGTGATTTGGCGCGTTTCTTCGCAGCGCTCTTTTCTTCTAGGTCAAGCAGGTTGGAGATCTCATTATCCCCTTTCTTTGTTGTGTCTTGCTCTTGGTGTGAAAGGGCTTCTGCGATCTCTTCACATCTCTGAAGGAGCCCCACAATTGCCTCGTTGGAGGGCACAGAATCCAATTGTCGGAGCTCGGCTGAATCGTGTGATATCCGTCGCAAGACATCTTCTAGATCTCGGGGCGTAGTTGTCTCGGGTGTGGTCGACACAAATCTAGAGGATATAATTTGTGTAGTAGTCCAATGGCCTTTCACGCTCTTCCTGGCCTTCCATAGCCTCACGTCTCTGTTCGAGATGGTTGGTCCGATTGATGCAAAAGATCGCGTGAACGGGGATCGTTGCCGGGGAGCCGGGGATGCGGAGGAGCGGCAGAATTGACATATCAGGGGTTGAGGTCTTGAGGCTCTTTGACCCCTTAAAGCAATGCCTTTCATGGTGAGCAGTGAAAGTCCTTTTGGCGTTGTTTTCCAGGCCGTTGAGTACAGATACGAGGACTGGCAGTCTGCCATTTGCGACACAAGGCGGAGTCTTACTGCCGCTGCAGCACCGCCACTAACTCCGGACGGACTCTCCACTATTGGGCAACTTAACTGATCCCATTCGCTTTGCTCCATCAGGCTACATTGTCTTCTCTCCATTCCAACGGACGTCATCTTTCTCCCTGAAAGAAGCGTCAAATGATCCCCTCGATTCCAGCGGATTGATCCCTCGCGATCGCTTTTCCCCCGTGATTACCGACTTCCCCTCTTTCTCCCTCAACGTTCGAAGTTATACTCTACCTTTTCTATCAACAAAATGCCTCCTCCTCCTCCACCACCTCCACCGCCGCCGCCCGGTGGCATGGGAGGACCCCCTCCCCCTCCCCCTCCAGGAGCACTCCCGAGTAGGCCATCAGGCGCGGAAGCGAAAGGCCGGGTAAGCTTATATGTTTGAAATAATGCCTGTCAGACAAACTAATCTATTTGGTAGGGTGCCCTTCTCTCGGATATCCATAAAGGTGCACGACTTAAGAAAACCGTAACCAATGACAGATCAGCGCCTCAGCTTGCCGGGGGAGGCGCGAAATCATCTGGTCCTGCTATTGCAGGTGCACCGCCCGTTCCAACCATGCCGAAACTCCCGGGTTCGGCACCACCGGTACCCGGGCAAGCAGTGAACAGACTACGAAGTGATAGCGGAGCTGGTTCAGGGGGGGACAGTGGTGCGGCTTTACCAGCAGCTCCACAGCTGGGAGGTCTCTTTGCTGGAGGTATGCCCAAGCTACGCAGCCGAGGAGGAGTTGATACTGGAGCCAATCGAGATTCGCCATATCGATCTGAATCACAAGGCTCGTCGGCACCGAAACCTCCAGTGTCGCCTGCTCCGAAGCCTCCAGGAGCTCGTCCTCCTCCACTGCCTTCTTCAGAGTCTCCTCCCGCCCCTCCTGTTAACTCATTGGTTGCTGGTCTAAAGAAGCCTCCCCCAAGGCCCGCCTCGCGGCCATCATCTACTGTCTCAAGTGCATCGGCCAGGTCGGCGTCGGATGTTCCACCACCTCGCGCACCACCACCGTTGCCAGGCTCAGCGAAGCCACCTCCACCACCTCCCGTGTCCTCTAGGAAACCATCAACTCCAGCCCCACCTCCTCCTGCACCCCCTTCTACAAGTCCAGCTGCACCACCTCCACCTCCA